CCCCTGGTCTGCTGGAGACGGTCTCCAGCAGACCAGGGGCACCGGAGCAGCTTACGAACGGGGCTTTCTCGCCCCGACTTCCGGGGCGAGAAAGCTCCGTTCGTAAGTGCGGATCCGACGTAAGTCGGATCTGCGTAAGTCGGGGACTGCCTGTAGTCAAAATGAAGTCACTAATACTTTTCCTCACAGTTTTATCAATGATATTTAAACAAAAAGTAAAAAAGTTGTTACCTGTCCCAACTCCTCATTGAGATCTGAAGTATTTACTTGTGCTCTCTGGTTTGTTTCTTCATGATAGAGGTCAAGATCCCAGCCAATGAAAAAAGATCCAAGAAATTTCTGCATCTCAACAGTCACATAAAGTGAAATAGGTATGATAAAATTGTAGAGTACCAGAAAAGCAAGAAAATCTGAAATAAATCTCAGAATCTGAGAGAGAGAAAAAGGGAAACAATTATCAGAATTATTAAATGAAACACGGTCACTTGAGTGTGTTTCAATATTATGAAAGGTATCAGATTATCTGGAAAAACTTAAAAACACAAGTAAGAGTCTAGCAGCACCTGCTAGACTATTCATTATTTTTTAAGATTTTCCAGTTCCAGACTAACTCGGCCACCCCTCTGAAGCATCAGATTATATATTAGAGGACAATGAAATTCCACCATATACTCAAATTGTAAAACACAAGTAGCAACACTGAAGGCTTCACTACGGGCTTCTTTTAGTGATGAGGGGATATTTCCGTTTTCAAGGCCATCAATCCATGTCTTCTCTACTAAGACCATAAAGGAAGGTGCCAATTAGTATTAAGCGTGCTGATGATTTTGGAACGTGAACACTTTTCTTTTAGGAACTGGATTCAAATGACTAACTCACATCACATACTCCGCCAAATCACCACAGACTTTTCTAACAATCTACAAGTTGTGAAGCAAAATAAGTTGAAAGCAATGTTCCACATTACCAGTTTATATACAGTATTCAGAATTTATAATTGATATCAAAGCTCATGTTGAAGTAGTCAAAGTAACAAAAGATAGAAGGTTGACAGCACAGTTCAATCATACTTTGAAAAAGTTGTAAATGAAGGGTGAAATGCAATTTTACAGTTTCTTTTTAATATTCTCAATGTTACACAAACTAACCATCTCAGAATTTAATTTAGGTCCGAGGAAATTCCTACCAATGTCTGAAAGCTTAATGATAGATATTTGAGACACGTAGTACTGGAACACACCTTTTAAAAACCATTAAAATATATTGGAGTAGGAGACCAATGTGAAGGCATAGAGTAGAAATATAAATATTTTGTGAATAATAAAAAAAAGCATTCTTCTTAACTAGGCAATGTTGCTATAACTATTTAATTAGCACTATTAGCATACATAGTGATTTACAAAACTGAGGTTCCCTAATTTAAAAATTGTCAACTCTAGACATGGGAAAATCACATGTTATAATAAAGATACCAATACAACAATAGCTGTAGGTTCCTGAATGATGAGAGCTCTTCCTATATTCTTCCACTTTATTTTACAGCACCAGTGTGAAAGTTGGGAGAACTTGCTTCAGTCCAGTAATTTGGACTCTTCTACAGTATGAGTGATTAGTCAGCATATGCCTATAGCCACTGCCTTAGTCTAGAGAGGAGATTTCCGAAGTTACAAAGGTGAATTAGATGCCTAACTCCCAATGTAAGTAAATGGAAAATGAACATTTAACTCCACTTTGTGCCTCTGACAATTCATCCTCTCCCAAACATATAAAAAGGTACTGAACTGAATGGGACACAGGAGGCCCTCAAAACAAGTCAGAAATCTGAAATAAAATTAAAGTTAAAAAAAAAAAAAAAGACGACGACGACTAAGTAGAGATATCTTCCAGAGACGTAAACTATAAGATCTAATGGAACATCTTCAAACAATCCCTTCAAACTCTAAAAGAAAGTGGGTGAGTAAGATAATTCCGTCTGGCAAGGTCTTCAAAGCACTGAAATTACAGGCAAGGGGAAGTTACTTGAAGAATACCAGCACAACAGGATTTCCTAAAATAAAAACTGTAATAAAATCTCTGCAAAAAGACAACACAAAATAAGTAAAATTATACTAATCTTTTTGTTTTAACATAAAAGGATGGGGAAGATACCCTCCAACAATGTGAAATAAACACACAAAACCCTGTAACAGAGCCTTGTGAATATACCGTACTTAAAACCAAGCCTTCCAAAATTGGGCCTGAACAATGGGTCAGAATAAAGATCCATCTAAGCTCAGTATCCTGTCTGCCGACACTGGCCAATACCAGATGCTCCAGAGGGAGGGAACATAACAGGTAGTCCTCACGTGATCCCTCCCCTGTCACTCACCTCCAGAGAAAAAGTCTAGGGACACCATTCCTACCCATCCTGGCTAAAAGCCACTGATGGACCTAACCTCCATGAATCTATCTAGCTCTTTTTTGAACCCCGTTAAAATCCTAGCCTTCACCGCATCCTCTGGCAAGGAGTTCCAAAAGTTGACTGTGCACTGAGTGAAGAAAAACTTCCTTCTGTTTGTTTTAAACCTGTTACCCATTAATTTCATTTGGTGACCCCTAATTTTTATATTGTGGGAACAAGTAAGTAACTTTTCCTTATTCACTGTTTCCACAACAGTCAGGATTTTATAGACCTCTATCATATCCCCCTTTAGTCTCCTCTTTGCTAAGCTGAAAAGTCCAAATGTTTTAAATCTCTCTTCATATGGAACACGTTCCAAACCCCTAATAATTTTTGTTGCCCTTTTCTGAACCTTTTCCAATGCCAATGTATCTTTGAGATGAGGTGACCACATCTGTACACAGTATTGAAGATGTGGTTGTACCATGGTATTATATAGAGGCAATAAGATATTTTCTGTCTTATTCTCTGTCCCTTTTTTAATGATTCCTAACATTCTACAGTAAAACTCCGATGGTCTGCACTCCTGATGGTCCGGCACCATCAGGAACCCGGAAGTGCTCTGGGCAGCCGGACCATTGGAACTGCTCTGCCCCCAGCTTCCCTGATTCAGCCGCTGCTAAAACTGACCAGCAGCTGAATCGGGAAAGCTGGGGGCAGAGCAGCTGGAGTGCTGCCGGGTAGGTCCCCTAGCGCTGCTCCTTGGCGCTGCGGGACCAACCTGGCAGCACCCCAGCTGTCCCCGATTCAGCCGCTGCTGAAACTGATCAGCAGCTGACTCTAGGAAGCCCGAGGTAGATCTGCTCTGCCCCGGCTTCCTGGAGTCAG